GCTCCGGGCTCTGACAGACATGGCAACGATCATGGCTGTGTTGTTTCTCCCACGGCATAAACCCGAGCTTGCTTTTTCTCTCTCTATCTGCCACTCTCAGCTTCTGGCCTTTGATCTTGGCCTTGTGTCTTATGTAGTGAGAGGCCCTGCAGCTGCTTTTGAAGAAAGATGAGAAACAGCCACAGGGAAATGCTAAGGAGAGAGAGCTCGGCTGTGTTGCTACAGAAAGCTCCGTGACCTAGCAGGCTTGTTTATGTTGTAAGACAGAACTGGGCCGTCAGCTCAGCTGGCCTCAAAGGAGCTGCCCTGTCTCTGAGGCCAGGGAAGGTGGGGAGAAAGCACTGGGAATGCCCAGGGGACAGTGACCTGAAGTGTTTATTGGAGGTTTTGTCCCCAGAGGGGAGGAGAGGCTTTGATCAGCTGACCTGACGTGGGCGCCGTGTGCTCCTCCTTACAGGCTGCTGCCCACCATGGTGCTTTTTGGCCTGGATATGAATCTGCTGCCTGTCATGGGTGGGATGGGGACAAGTCACACCAAGCATAGTAACTCCTGTCAGCCCACGCTTCGTGTGTCATGCCTTCGACGTCAGTCTGTTCCTCTTGGGAGTTTCAGGGGGCAGGATTGTGGGGAGGAAGATGCTGGAGCGTCTTAGAAATAGATAGCTTTATTTGTTTATTTAATTCTTCAGCTGAGACATGGAGAAAGATGGTTTACTGTACACGATGAGTTGTTGGCCACAGGTGAGGCCAGGACCAGTCTAGGATGCCACAGGTCCATAACAGAGGGCCAGCAGGCTGTTTGGTATTAAGACAGTCAATCTCTCAGGTGGTCTTGGCAAGCAGATGGAGTTCTATCTAGACCAATCGAGACTTGTTACTGAGAATAGTGCGCAGTCCAAGCTTATGCCAGCATCTCAGCTAGCCTTAACACCCTTCCTTTTTTTTTTTTTTTTTTTTGGAGACATGGTTTCTCTGTCCTGAAACCCTGAAACTTACTCTGGACCAGACTGGCCTCAGATCCAGCTGCCGCTGCCTCCTGAGTGCTAGCATCAGTGGCTGGAGCCACCACCTGCCCGTCAGGTGGCAGGTGTCTTTATCTTTAAGAACAGCCTCACAGATTCCCCTTAAACAATCAAGAGATGGCAAGGGGCCTCCTCAGGTCAAGGCACTTGCCACCAAGCCCAGTGACCAATCCTTCAGACCCATAAAGTGGAAGGAGGAAACAGACCCCTCTGAGCTCCCCTTGGGCACCATAGAGAGTACATATACCATAGAAAATGCACACACATGAACACATAAGCAAGTGACTGTGATTAAAAACATCTTCCAGAAGACATCTGCAAAGCATTAGCTGACAAGGGTTGGGCGACAGCGTGGCCAGTCAGAGAGGACACGCCAAGACAAGCCTGGAGCTGTGACAGCTTCCGAGGAACCGTCCAGCACCACAAGGGGCTGCGGCACGCACAGCTTAGAGTCCTTGCCCAGCGCGTGCATCCTGGTGGTGTGCAGCCCCTCCCCTGAAGTATCTCAGGCTGATACGGGAAGGTGTGGGAGGCCCTGGGGTGAGGTGAGTGAGTCCACCAGCAGGGGTGTTCCACACACCCGTTTCTTTAAATTTATTTGGTTTTATGAGTTGGATGTCTGGTCTGCAGGTCTGTCTGTATGTATAGTGCAGGCTTGGTTTAGGGATACAAGCATCTGCAGTGACCATGACATGTGATCATGTGACTCCTGGTGGGGTAGAGGTAGCGGGTGAGAAAATGGTGTCCTCCAAATCAGCTGCTGACGATTGAGAGGGGCTGTGGGGACCTGGGGCTGTCGTGGGGTCTCTCTGGGAGTGGGATGTGCTGTGTCTGTTTCATGGTCAGGGGAGGCCCTTGAAATTTGTCGTGTTTTTTTTTTCCTCTTTTATGTATCTGCAATCTATATGTTGGATTCATGTTTCAGAGGCCAGAAGCACGTCACTCGGTTAGCAGTCTGGCCCAGGGACCGTCTGCTCTAGGCCCACCGCAGCCAGCCAGCCCCAGCCTGCGGGGCCTGTGCCTTGCGCTGGCTCTACTGCGCAGTGTCTGAACAGGGATCCACTGCTGAGGACACTCCGTCCTTCCCTGCCTGGCTGCCTCTCCCCTACTCCACATTCCTTTAGGAGTGTCAGCCTGGGGTGTCCTGCTGGCCTTTACTGTAAACCTCGCAGGGTTATGAAAGGAGAGTGAGCTCTTGAGTAAATGGTGTTCTGGAAAACCCAGCCAGTCGGTCCCAAGACACCGAGAGATGAAAGGTCCTCCATGCACCATCCTCTTGTCTCCTTGGTTATTTATAGTCTCCACTGTGTGCCTGCTCTTGACTGGCCTGTACCTTAATGTTGGTGGTGGCTTTTATGTGGTGGCTTTCAGGCTCCTGTGCTGGCTAGTGTTCTGTCAACTTGACACACGCCAGAGGCACTTGAGAGAAGGGAGCCCCTACTGAGAAAATGCTTCCCTAAGATCAGGCTGTAGTCAGGCCTGTAGGGCATTTTCTTAATTAGTAATTGCTGTGGAAGGACCAACCCATTTTTGGTGGTGCCATCCCTGGGCTGGTGGTCCTAAGAGAAGGCTGGCTAAGCAGGCTAGCCTCCAGCCATATCCCCTGAGAGAAGACTGGCTAAGGAGGCCAGCATCCAGCCGTATCCCGTGGCCTTGGCGTCAGCTCCTGCCTTTTAGGTCTCTTCTCTGAGTTCCAAAGCCTTCAATGATGCGTTATGATATGGAAGTATAAGCAAGATAAACCCTTTCCTTCCCAAGTTGCTTTTGGCCATGGTGTTTCATCGAAGCAATAGAAAGCCTACCCAGGACAGCTCCCTGAGAGTAGAGGCCTGAGACTCGGAGTAGAGGCTGTGTTTTGCAGGTGCACCCCCTCGATCTGGGCAGAGGAGATGACTTATGGGGCATGCTGGGGACACAGTGCTGTTAGAGGTGCACAGACGCCTGCCACTCCCAGGATGAGCTTGTACTACTGGGGTTTTAGTGGGAGACTTTCCCTGACTGCGGTGTCTTGCTCATTTCTCTCTCTCTTTTTTTTGTTTGTTTGTTTTGTTTTGTTTTGTTTTGTTTTTGAGACAGGGTTTCTCTGTGTGGTCCGGGCTGTCCTGGAATTCACTTTGTAGACCAGGCTGGCCTCGAACTCAGAAATCCCCCTGCCTCTGCCTCTCAAGTGCTGGGATTAAAGGCGTGCGCCACCACCGCCCGGGGCTCTCTCTCTCTCTCTTTTTTTTTTTTTTTTTCTGCTTAACCCTGATTCTGACAGCCTAGGACTTAAAGCAAGGACTTAAGCAAAGGACTTAAAGACAAAGCTGGGTGTTGGTGGCACATGCCTCTGGTCCCAGCACTCAGGAAGGAGGCAGAGGCAGATGGATCTCTGCGTTTTGAGGCCAGTTGCACCTCGAGACCCTGTCTCAAAGATGAACAAACTAAAATCTAACAAGCAGTGAAACCTCAGTCTTTTCCACCAATGCCTCAGCCTTGTTCCCCTAGTAGCTTCTAGTAGCTTGCAACTCAATGAACTCATATACTATTCTGTGTCTACCACATGGCTGGTTACCTCTCCTCAGTTTCCTTTTTTTTTTTGGTTTTTGGTTTTTCGAGACAGGGTTTCTAAGTATGGCCCTGGCTGTCCTGGAGCTCACTCTGTAAACCAGGCTGGCCTCAAACTCAGAAATCCGCCTGTCTCTGCCTTGACTTCCGGATGTCCCGCCTTCTAATCCTGCCTCAGCTCATTGGCCATCAGCTTTTTATTGACAGGTGATGCTTTTACGTGGTGCGCGATTATCCCTCAGAGCAGACACACAGTACCTGTGGTGCTCAGTGCTATCTGGGACGGCAACTGTGCTTCTGTACAGCAGGCTGCCTGGGGAGGGCAGACCCTGCTTCCCAACTGGTTTCTGCTGCACATTGACTCAAAGCCATAGCTCACTTCCTCCGCTGTCTGGCAGCGGCTGCTCAACATGGCTGGCTCTAAGCACTGGTGAGAGCCTGCCTCCTGTTAGGTATTTCTATGTGAACACCATATTTCCTTTCTTTTCTTTGAAACAAGTTCTTGTTATTGTAGCTCAGGTTCATCTTGAACTCATCAACCTCCTGCCTCGGCTTTCGAAATGCAAGAGTTACAGGGGCGGGCTTTCATGTCCACTTTCATGTATGCCCCTTTGCTCCACGAGGGAAACCTGCCCAAGCTTCCATGCCCGGCACCACGCCTATCTTACTGGACTTGGTGGTGGTGTTGCTAGCAGGCCAGAAGTCTGTCTTCCCTTTACCGCCCACCCTGTCTTCTCCGTGCCCTGTGTCCATGTGATGCTGATCCTCCCTAAGCTGATAGCTTTCCCTTTCCGTCACCTCACCTAGGAGAGGCAACGGGCTTTGTGAGCAGAAGCTAGGTACAGCAGAGTGTGGTGGTTAGCTGTGTCTGTGGCGGGCTAGTGCTGGGCTAGGGGCCTGGGCACTCTTGCTGAGATACTTGGAAACATGTTTCCTGTCGGTCATGAGTGGAAGTTTTCTGTAGAGGGGAGACTCACAGGTACCACTGCCCTTTTTTTGGTTCTGTTTCCTGCACATTGTCAACAGTGAATGTTAACAAGCAAATGGTATTGTCTTTCCTGCTTGAGGCCAGTGACCTGGGGCTGGCGAGTGGGGTCTCGCTGGGAATGGGATGTGCTTCGTGTGTTTCTTGGTCAGGGGAGGCCCTTGAAGTTTGTCATTTTTTTCCCCCTCTTTTATGTATGTGCAATCTGTATGTTGGATTCATGTTTCACAGAGGCCAGAAGCATGTCACTCGGTTGGCAGTCTGGCCCAGGGACTGTCTACTCTAGGCCCACCGCACCCAGCCAGCCCCATCCTGAAATGTGTCTACTGGGGGTCAGGGCGCCCACTGCCTTTCCCATCCCTGGTCTCTGAAATGTCCTTTGACCTCAGACTGTGCTTGTGGTGAGGTAGACTGGGCAGCTCACTGCTTGTCTTCTGATTGGACAGGTCGGGGCGGTGCGTCTATTTATGGCAAACAGTTTGAAGATGAGCTTCATCCAGACCTGAAGTTCACTGGTAAGTGTGTATCTGGCTGGATGGGCGGGGCAGACAGTGCATAGTGAAAGCTGGCTCGTTTGGCTGTGATTCAAGGTGAGTGCCTGACACCATGGAACGGTGCCAGACAGCTGCCCAGCGGTGGCGCCACCAAGTACCCTGGCAGATGAAAGAAAGCAGCGCCTCTTGAGTCCTTACAGATCTGAGCATGGTCTGTGTTCTGGACTCCACTTGTTAAATGTCACGAAGCAAAGGCTGTCTGGAGCTTCCTCCAGGAAAAGGAAGGCCTTGCTGGGCTCTTGAAGAGGAGTGGGTAAGGTAGGCCAGTGGTTAGTGAAGCTCAGCACTAAGCTGGAGAAGGATGGAGGCAGAGGCATTGAGGCAACTGGGGTGGTGTTGGAAGGGACTGCCCTGCCCCTAGGAAGGGACGCAGTGGGTCCTGGCAGTGGTGACAGAGACCTGTAGGTCCTGACAGTGGTGAAAGAGAGTGGCGTCTGTATCTGCCACAGTGCTGCAGCTCTGCCAGCTGGAGGGGCTGCTGCTCATACTCTCTCTCTCCTTATGTCCCCCAGGGGCTGGGATTCTCGCAATGGCCAATGCAGGACCAGACACCAATGGCAGCCAGTTCTTCGTGACCCTGGCCCCCACGCAGTGGCTGGATGGCAAACATACCATTTTTGGCCGTGTGTGCCAGGGTATAGGGATGGTGAATCGAGTGGGCATGGTGGAAACAAATTCCCAGGACCGTCCTGTTGATGACGTGAAGATCCTTAAGGCGTACCCGTCTGGGTAGATGGGCTGCTGTCTCCGGCATGCTCAGGTCCCAGTGAGCTGTTTTCTGGATGACAGAGCGCCGTGTGATTCAGCATCATGCATACCTACTCTGAAACAGAGGGGTCGTCTCTGGGGACATTTGTATTCTGGCCAACAGTCATAGACTTGAAAAGCAGGCCTCCAGTGTGACTTCTTCCAGGAATATGCACAGTGCTCTCTCTCCCTCTGAGCCTGAGCATCAATACTGCTGCTTCTGACACTACACATCCCACGCAAACCCATATTGAATCGTTGCCAAATGAAAAATGCATCCAACAATCAAGTTGCTAAGAAGGTGTCAAGTGGGGGTGATAATGTGTAATGATTGGGCAATGAGTCTCTGGAAGGAAGCAGAAGTGTGGCCATCTTCCCCTCGGGACGGAGGGAGGGAGGGAGAGTCTAGTGAGCACAAGGCCAGGCCTTCACGGGCCTCCCCACAGGAAGTGACACGTTCTAGGTCTTTAGAAAAAAATAAAAGGTTTTTATGCATGCTGTCTTTGGTTTTTTTTGTTTGTTTGTTTGTTTGTTTTGTTTTGTTTTTGTTTTTTTTTGTTTTTTTTTTTTATCTTTGGATTTGAAGGGGTTGGGGTAAGAAGGATGTTAATACCTTTGTAATACATAGAAACTTTCGGAATAAAACACCATTGGTGGTTGAAATCACTGCTGTGGTCTGGTATTATTCGAGATTCTCAGCCTTTTTTCTTTTTGAGACAGGGTGTCACTGCGTAACACTTACTGGCTTTCTATGTAGATCAGGCTGGCCTCAAACTCGGAGAGTACCTAGGTCTCAAGTGCTGAAGGCATGTGTTACCACGCCTGGCTCTGTGGAGGTGGGGGGTGTTGCAGCATTCCTGTTCCCAGGTCACAGTCTACCCCGTCCGGAAGAACTGGAGTGGAGACCACAGGAGAGGCTGCTCCCTGGCTTGCTCAGCCAACTTAAATAACCCAGGCCCACCTGCCTAGGAATGGCGCTGCCCACGGTGAGCTGCGCCCTCCTTATCAATCAGCAATGAAGGAAATGCCTCACAGGGCAGATGAAAGCAGGTCCCCCATTGAGGTTTCCTCCTCCTTCCCCATGTGTGTCCAGTTGATTAGGAGGTTATACGGAGGGACTCAGTCATCCCTTGCAGTGGGAGGAGACCCACCCCCACCTCACCCCCTGTTGCTGTGGACCCCACGTGGCTTTGCTTCCTCACACTGAGAGCCTCTTAAGGTGCCGTGTGCCTGTATGTCATTGTAAGTTTTGGGAAGTGACCTAAGTTCCATTCCACGAGCCTTTCCCTTCAAGCTGTTTCTCCCCCTGGCAATGGAAGAAACCTTGAAACCTTGTACTGTACGGAAGTTAGCAGCCATATGGGTACAGAAAAGCTTCACTTAATTGTCTGCCATTTGTCCAGGGTTAACATACCCGATTAAATGTAAGGGCCTTATTCGCATGGGTTTGAGTACAGAAGCAAACTATTCTCTCAATGAAGAAAAAGGAAAACCCACCAACAAGCCCTGAAGATGGCATTGGTGTGCAGAGTCCCACACAGACACCCATCTGCCATCTCCCAGAATTATAACCCGTCCCTGTGTCACAGGCTCCGGGCTGATAAGGGAACCGTTGTTACTGTGAGGTTATGGTTCTGCATATACTGGGCAATAGCAGCCCAGGCAGCATTCCTGGCTTCTAGAAAAGTCTCCACACACATGCCAAGGGAACCACCCGTTGGCACAGCGCATGGCCTCAAGAGAGAAAACCTGAGTGTTACACAAGCTTTAGTGACTGTGAGGAAGCCTGAGGTACAGATACCTGTCTCCATGTCCCAGAGCCTGTTAGCTGTGTCACACTGTCAGGGTAAGAGCCATTAGACCATGGATGTGACAGTGGGGTACAGGTGGCCCATTTCCACCTTGGGTAGTGGGGAAGGGACCAGTTTCTGACTTAGGTAGAGTGTAAGGAAGGGCTGTGGAACTTGTGGGGCTCAAGAAAGGACAGGAAGGAGATAGTGGGAAGATTCTCGACTTGGAGAGGAAGGAGGTTAGGAGTAAGTCAGTCAGCTGTAAGGTGTGCCAGCTGGCTCTCAGCACTCAGGTTCAGGACATTAGCATTCTGGCCCCTGGAGATGGTGACTGCTGGCCCAGGTGCCACAGTTCCTGTAGCAAGGCAAGAGGTCATGTTTGTCTAACAGGGACCTGAGGAGGGAATTTTTGCAACAGCTTAAGGTGGGCAGGTCCTTGACTCCACAGTCTGCATCTCGTGGCCTGGGGAAGAGGAGAGAAAGCCCAGACTGAGTTCAGCACCCCCACCCCCCACTCTGCTGAGATGAATGCCCTACTGTGCCCCCTTAGGGACACTAAGTACCAGGCCCTGCTGTGTGAGCACCACAGCGCCTGAGGTGGAACAGTCAGTAGGACGAGTGGAAGAGAAGGGAGAGGACTCTGGAACGGTAGGACACCTGTGAAGGGACCTGGAAACATGTCTTTCCTCCTTGTGGTTCTTGTTATCCGTGACAGGTCCTTGCGTATCCCAGGAAGCCCTTAACTCTGTAGCTGGGAGTGATTTTGAACTTCTGATCCTTTTATCCAAACATCAGGGTCGGGGGCAGAGGCTGGCCTTGAACTCACGGCAGTCCTCTGTGATAGGATCACACTACCGCTCATGGCAGAAGAGGTATTCAGAGCAGGATCTGGTACTGGAAACACTTTTAAAAGCCAGCTTCTGACCTTAAAGCCACAACATTCCATCCCAGTGTTGGGGTAGAGAACCCAGGACCTCCTATTTGCCAGGTAAATGCCCTACCACCATTCCTGACTCGTACCCTCTGCTTCTCTATGCCCATCCCCCAGGAGCCCACCCTCAGAGCCTCCTCCCTCCCTGCTTTGACCTCAGCAAGGCCTGGTCTTATTCTTATTCGGAGCTGCCTTCCCAGCACCTGGGTAATGCTTTGAGGTTATTGCTGAGCGAATCAAATAAAACTTCCTCCATCAGAAAAAAAGATGGAGACTCGTTGGCTGAAATAGCTGCAGCCGGAGTCACAGACCCTGGTTTTGGCTGGCGTGACAGCAAAAAGCCTTTTCCACTCGGCCCTCTGGAAGTCCTCAGCTTCGTTTATTTTTGGACCTCGTCTCCAGAATATGTCAAAATAGCTTTTCCCCACAAATGGCGAATGGGCTCCTACCCCCAGATCCTGGAGCCAATCTGAGCCTCCCCGTGGCCCCTCCGGCACCACACTTGCAGGGTGCGGAGGAGGAAACGTTGGCACGAACATGTGTTCAGGCTGGGTGCTTCCTGCCAAGAAGCACTCCGTGCCCTCAGAACCGGGTTCCGTGGAATAGGCTCCCGTGATTTAGGGGAGCGCCAGAGAAGAAGAGGACGGTCCAGCAGCTCTGGACAGATGAGACAAATTGCAGGCGGCAAAATGGGAGCTAAAGCTGGTTTGGTCTCACAGAGAAATTGGATTCCTATTTGTTCTTCCAAACTGGTGATTTAGAATCCCTGCCAGTGGTGGCAAGTCTGAGACCCAGCCTGGCCTACGTAGGGAGATCCCTGTCTCCAGGGGGAAAAAAAAACAGACAAACAGAAAATTAAAGAGTTGTATCTGGGTGGGAGAGATGGCTCAGTGGTTAAGAGCGGGTGCTTGCTTCTCTTACAGAGGACCGGCATTCAGTTCTCTGCACCCACGTGGTGATTCACAACGGCCTGTAACTCCAATCCACTCCAGTGCATCTGATGCCCTCTTCTGGCCTCCGTGGGCTCCTACACTCACACAGTGCACAAAAACTCATACAAACACACACATATTAAAATAAATCTTTTTCTTTTTTTTTTTTTTAAAGATCCCTGTCTAAAAACCACAGGGCAAAATGTTCGACCTCAGGAGTGTGCGGACTTTGTGTCACCTTGAAGAGCCACTCGACACCTTGAATTTAGTTTCCTTGTTCGTCAGGCTAAGGTTTGAACTAGGCCCTTTGAGCTTCCAGTCGGAATGAATGTAGGTCAATTTGAGAAAGATTCCTCCAGCGGCCAAGTTTGCATTTCGCATGCTCTTCTGGAAGTCTGCCACTAGAGGCCGCTATAAATACAGTTTCGCCTCACGGCTGCTTCAAGAGGCAAAGACACCTCTTCATGATTTTACTAAGCCAAGTCAGCTGCTCTTCGAATGAGGAAAACCAAGGACTGCTCAGATTGCCACGGACTAGAATTGAGCCTTGGGCCCAGAAGAGTGAGCCTATGAGAGCTTTGTGGGCTGAGGTGGCTCCATCTTCTGTCAGGTGGTCTAGGCAGACACTCCCATGTCTGGGTTGCAAGAGACCTGGCTATGTACATACCTGGTCCTAAAGAAGCTGGTTTCTCTTTTCTGTTTAATCCTTCCCTGGGCGGTAAAGTCATCCTTTCTCTGGTAATCCAGAGTCCCTCACATTAGCCAGGAAATAACTTCACTTGAGCCGGGCGGTGGTGGCGCACGCCTTTAATCCCAGCACTTGGGAGGCAGAGGCAGGTGGATTTCTGAGTTCGAGGCCAGCCTGGTCTACAGTGTGAGTTCCAGGACAGCCAGGGCTACACAGAGAAACCCTGTCTCGAAAAACAAAACAAACAAACAAACAAAAAAAAAAACCCCAAACAAACAAACAAAAAAAATTCACTTGAGAAAAATGTCTCAATTTGAGTATATCTGTCTTTGTTTTGTTTTGTTTTTGAGATAGGCTCTCTCTATATCCCTGGCTGTCCTGGAACTCTCTACAGAACAGACTGGCTTTGAACTCAGATCTGAATGCTGGGATTAAAGGCATGTGCCACCGCCGCCCAGTGTTTATTATTTAACACCCAAACCTACCTCTGAGGCTGGCCGTTTCTGGATGAACAAACTGAGGACAGACCAAAGCCCAGGAGACTGAGTGAACAGATGGAACAATCGATGGGCCCAAAGCTAAGAACAGACTTGGGGATTTCTTGCTGAATTTAGCTCTTTTTCAGTTGTCTCCATCCTTGAGACATAGAGGGGAAAGATGACCTTGCAGGTGGGGACATCCACCCTACTCCACAGCCTCAAGCCTCTTTCCAGAAGCCTGCCGCTGGGGCCCAGGACACATGTGACCCTGGTCAGTGCGTTTATTGGGTCAGAAGTATAATGACCAAACCGCTGGGGTCCTCTCACGGAAATCACTTCCTTCTCCTGGAGGGTCCATTAGGAGCTGTACCCTGCGTATTCAGTACAGGCAGAGGCAGGGCAGGGGAGTGGCCGGGCACATCTCTGCTTCCTCATTAACTGGCAGGGAAAGTGGCTTTTCCGGGTCAGCATACACATGTAAGAAAAGCCATCAAAGGAAGGGGAAATCCACAGTTCACAGTTGTTCCCAGCCATGTTCAATCCTGAAGAGTTTGCCTTTTGTGTGGCTCCCTTTCCAGAAGCAGAAGGGGTGAGGGACTTGGTTGGTGAGTGGCCTTACACTTCTGGTTCCAGCGGATGCTCAAAATTCCCTTTCTCTCTGGTCGGCTTTGTCCC